TGTTACAGTGGAATACTGGTTGATTAAATTTTTCATCAGAAACAAAAAGCTGCAGAATGAAAAAAAAATAAACTTTGTCAAAGCAAATGTAGCTTACATTTCTCAATTTTGTTACTTCTTACTCAGCAAAGTCATCAACTAATACCAGATTATTTCTCTGAACGAAGACTTAAACAGATAAACACTCGGAACAATATATGCCATAACATGCTTCCTAGCAGATACATCTAGCAATGTCATGCTTAATTACAAATCAGATATAAATCATGTTGTGATACCGTGGAATTAACATGTCAAAGCTTTAGAAACGAACAGTCCAGTTTCATAGGAGAAGGATCGTATTTGACCAAAGGAACATCTCTAATACACGCCATTCTGAATTGTACATAGTAAAATACAACAACTTTCAAAAGGGTATTTCAAAGAGAGAACAACATAACTACAGGATTCAGAAACATATCATAGGCAAAATTTTGTTCAGCCTGAAAAGAAGCAACAAAAGAAATATCATTATACTTGGATCGCCATTCTGAATTGCACATTATGCATATGTTGGTCTAGTTACAGCAGATTTTGAACGAGCGCCATATAACTTGTTAATATTATAGTAAGAGTAACAAAAGAGAGTTTTCGCAACTTTCTTCTCTGATCCACAGAAAAACTATATCAGTCACGAGTGAATAGAGTTGGTTAAAAAAATGACTTGAACACGGAGCTGGAATCCAATAGATGACCCTGTTGGCATGTGGTGTTTGCAAAATCAGAGGACGATATAGAAGTATTACATACCAAGGGCATGTCAAAAGCAATGAAATCCACAGGCATCTTTGCAACAAAGACCATCCGAATATTCGACAAGTAGATAGTCCCTCTTGTTCTTGTTTTTCCTACACTGAGAACAAACAGTCTCATTAACACAGAGCCTCATGAACTAATAAAACTTTAAAGAAGAAAGAGTGAAGGCAATGCAAGAATTATGTGTTGAAAACAGGGAGAAAGGAACTCATAAAGTAAAGCAAATACATTTAACCATATTTTCTAAAACAAGTTAATTCCTTAATTGACATTTTACATCGATTTTATCGTCCTCATCCTCCAACTAACCTCATCTTCACCCCACCTCCACCCAGCATCGGAGCCAAGTTTTCATTAAGGAGTTCAAAATATGAAAAAGTAAACACACAAAAAAGTCGAACAGGTTCAACATATACTATATATACACAAAAATAATTTTAACCTATCGAAAGGGAACCCATATTAGCTCTGCCCCTGCTGCCACCTTCACTTCTCATAGTATTTGCATAAATTATACATAAATACTTTTAGAGTAACATTTATTTTTATTTTTTGCTTATACACGAAACACAAGAAAATAAGTTTCTAAAAACATTTTCCTTTAGAGGGTAGGCAGGGTTCACAAATTACAATAAATTTTGAATATTGAGGGGATCAAATTTCATATCAAGGTTTCAAGTTCAAATATTAAGCACTCTTTTTTTCGAATCCCTAAATGAAAATTCTGAATCCGCTACTTAGGCGGAGATAACAAACAATAAGAAACACTTGCCCAGGGATTTTGTCGACCTCAAACTCAACACCATGTCTAGACAGGACGAACAATTCATTGAGGAAAGGAATTGGCATTCCATTAGCAAATAATTGGGGATTCACTGCCATTTTTATTTTCTGTTTTCTGATCGAATCTCCGATCGGAAAAAAAGGGTTTTTTGGAATTTGGAATTTGCTTTTGAAAATTGTTGTTTTTCTACGCGGAATCTTAGGAGGTACGCTAATATTGCTTATGAAATTTTAGGGTTAATTTTAAAGTCAAAATAAATAAATAAATAAATAAATAAATATAACATATAATTTACTAAATCATTTCTATCTATTGTGAATAACTAAAGCGACAATTATTTTGATACTGAGAATGTGATAGTTATTAGACCATGTTTTAGCGGGTAAAATATTACTATTGGCATTCGATAGAGCTAAAATTTTATAAGAGTAAAATTTGTGTACATAAAATCTTTTCTAAATCTTACTTATTGGATTACATTGGACACGATATTGTTGATGATATTCATATCTAACTCAAGGAATACATGGCATGTATCCTTAGTTACATTTTTATCACAAAATTATATTTTTTGGTTCTATATTATAGTAGATGTTTTTATCTTGGACATATAACATAAAGAAATCGCTCATCTATGAGAACCAAACGACTCCTTATATTCTTCCCTTTTTTTAATGTGGTCGCTTGCATCGTATAGACGGCCATAATAACAATTGTTTGTTTGACCAAGCTTTTAGCGAAAATAAAGGCATTTTTTGGAAGAAAAAAGAAGAGAGAACTGATTCTATAGAATCAGATATAATTACAATGATAACAAAGGAGACATAACTTGAAGTCATGTAGAAGAAACATATAGATACCAATCAATCAAGTGAACCTAAGAAGCTTGTAATAGTAACATCTTTACAAATGTTGCAAGTACTTTAACATACTATTATGAACCTAAAAAGTTGAAGTTTATTTCTAAAAAAATTAAGGAAGTTGCAGATGTATGCACTAGTTTACTAAATATAACTGAAATGAATGTGACATATACACTATTAAGTATATATGTTGTGTAAAAGTAGTATATGATATTTAGTAAAGTATACACGACTTATACATTGTTCGTATTTTATAAACTAGTTGATCGAAGTGTTTAGGCGTCGTAATTATCCCTAAGAAAGGGATATATACATATTCCTCAGATAATTCCTCCTCTGTGGCTGAGGAAAAAATTATGTTCTAAGAAACCAATGAACTATTGTAGTGAGGCAGAATTGAATAAGAAAGGAAGCCGGTGCATGCAGGGTACGTGGAAGGGCCGCACCTGAAGCAAGCATCAGTGGTTGATTCCACCATAGCTCAAACAATGACTAAGAACTTACGCAAAACTTAACTATTGCTCCAAGGCTCCCTTCTGAGGAGAAATGAATAACGAGTAAGCATTCAAGTAAAACATCAAGTGTTTAAAATAATACAGAAAGTTGAGAAATAAAAGCTCCATTGTTTCTTAATAAAACTGTTCTCAAGAAGTTGTTAGTTCTTGAGTATGCTTTATGTTGTTCCCTGGAAATCTCTCCTTCAAAAAAGTAACTATTTATGAGACAAATAGACATAATCAAGGCAACCAAGGCTCAACTATGATCGATACTGATAGTATATACAATCTTATTCTCCTGGAAAGAGAAAATTGTTCCGCTAAATTAGACTACAAATTATGTGTTCATTTCACAACTGAACTGAAATTCCATATGTGATAATCGCTAGGGAACACCATATTAGCAAGAGTCTATGTTTTGCTCAGACTCACAAAAAATATTGTTGCATTGGTGTCAGATCCTACAAAAGTTCATTACTTTTTTTAGGATTTAGCACGCACCCATCAACATTTTTGAAGAGTCTGAGCAATAGAGGCAAGAGTAACACATTGAGAACATAGACATCTTCAAGTAGTTGGCACCCATGGTTCGCATCTTAAACTCAACTTATCCCAAAATCTAATGAGATCATTAAACAAGCAGGTTCATAGAGTGGTTGCCACCCAATATCAGCCAAAATATCTGTCTAATAATGCAGAAATGACATGTGTATTGTCTATTCCGGATTCCCCTGATTGAAACAGATATTTTCTTAGGAATATGAACAGAAACAGATACAGCAAGAATAACACGAGAGAAGACGACTAATATGATAAATAGGCATGCTGAAAACAATAACATTACCTTCCAGTGTATATCAATTGTGTCATAAAGTGGGAAGCAAATAGAAAATCAACCAAAGCATTAGGACTTCAGATTCAACAAAGTTTGTAGTCTTGCACCACTTGCTACTCTGGATGGTTACTATAGATGAAATTAATGCAGAAAGAAAATCAGCCAGCTCTGGAGAACATATTTGCTGAACGGCTCATAAAAAAATAGTATAAACACAGGAAATTTTAGTTTAAATCTAAAAAAACTTCAGCAACTCAAGAAATAAGTGAAGTTCAAAAAAAACCAGTAGAGTCGCTCTTTTTAGTAATTGTATCTTTGTTTGTAAAGATAAATCCAGGTAACAAAGCAAGACACTACCCCATATTAGAGAACCAATCTACATTGAAACATTTGAGGGGGGCTGCAAATCTCCAAGACATACATAAACCTTCTTGCTTTCCAAACAGGATAGCTAGCAAGACGTTCCTAGCTCGTTGTCAGCTTGAAATAAGACTAAGAAGATGTCACAAAATCGTTTTGTTTCTTGCTTTCTAAGACCAGATAACTGACAAGGTGTCTATATGCCTTATATTCTAAACTTAGGAGATTATAAAAGAATCACAAGTAAAGCTCAAAGAATTTAACCACATCTTACCTAATCTGATGCAAAATTAAAGCTGAAAGGTATCGTTAATCTCAGATGCTGCAGAGCAGAATCCTCCCAGATGCTGCAGTGTTAATTCCTTCCTCCTCCAAGTTGAAGCAGCACATGATAGAATACGGCATCATGTCATCCATAAATGTATGATATACTATAACATTTTTAACAACTACAGTTTAATCTTCTGAGTACTACTGAGGAACTTATATAGCATGAAGATCATAACGTAAATAATCATCAGATACTCTTTCTGTTGAAACTTGAGCTGTTCCATTTTGAATCTCTGGTACACATCACACTTATACATAGAATAGACATCAAGCTGCAGCAAAATTATCTGATCCATAACCAATCTAAGAAAGATTGAGTATAGAGATTTAGAGTTCTATCCTCCTTATACGTTCGGCTCCACAGCATTTCACATGATTCAACTTCAAACCGTCCCATGCATTAGTTGATCAGTCGACAGGTGAATCCAGTAATGCAATAAATAAATCTTTCATATTATCCAGTATGGTGGCAACTCAATCACTGAGATGTCGAAAACATCTAATTATAGCACCCATTCAAGATAACACAATGTAAGTTCAGTAATAAATTAAAGTCCATAGCACTCTTTTGAGTAGGAAAGTTTAAGCTCACAACTGATATAGTTTCAACAAATTACAGAATTAAATTCAACGGAAACCTCCACGGTTTCCTTACAAAACATTCATGTGGAACTACAGGTTTTCATAGTCCACACTGATCCCCTATTATCTCTTGTTACAAAGTGATCAAAGCAGCTTATTATGAGGTCTGCAAACAACAGAACAAACCCCACCAAATTCATCACAAGCAACAACTTCCCCTGATGCTTGTGTTTCGTGTTATCGTCACACAGCTTACAACACCAAAACTCGGTGAACGTAAACTCTTGACAAATGAGATAAAGCAAACAAACCTAATCCTAGCAATAATTCATGAAATTGAACAAACCCCTAGTTCATTTCTCACTCACTAGAACCTAGCAACAAATTTCTCATCTAACACAATCAAGAACATTAAAACACATTTATACGATATATTAACAACAACAACAATAACAATATCAATAACAATAATAATATTCATATCTTCAGCGTCCGTCGTCGTCTCTTCTCCCGGAAGAAGGCTGTGGAGGACCTGATAGAGAAGCTAGCAAATTGAGATGCCCTTGAGTCATTGGTAAGTAATTTCCAACTCTAGCAGCTGAAGCCTCTCCCATCTGCTGCTGAAAGAATCTAGAACTCTGCGAACTTAACGCCGCCGCGGCCGCAGCGGATGTCGGCACCATCATTTCTGGTGGAGGCCCCGCCGCAAAGCTCCAAATTTGACCAAAATCAGGCCTAGCTGGAACAGCCCAAAACCCAGCTGTGGGACCCACAGCAGTAGCAGCTCCGGCAGCTACAGCCACATCATCCTTATTCCCATTTTCAAGGTTTTCGTCATCTGACCGGAGGCGTTTCCCGAGGATAAACGGCGCCGGTGAAATCATATGTGATGATTTCTGATCAAGTGGAGCCGAGAGTGATGAAACAAGAGATGCAGTTGAGTTCCGTACCGATACAGATACAGTAGAGAAACTAGCAGGAATAGTACCAGTACCAGTAGCAGCTATAATTGAAGGCTCAGCTTGACGAAGCAGCCATTCGATAGTTTGTCCATCGGATTTGTGACCCAATTCACGAGTAAGCTGAAAAACTCTTGCAGCACATACAATTGGCATCCTTATACGTCTTCCTCTACCATCAACCTTGCTATGCCGGTCTTTTACCGGCGGTTTTTTCACTGTTAAAGCACCATTTGTACCAACCCCAGAAGGCTGTTGTTGTTGTTGTTGCCTCTGAGGATCAATTATAGCTCCATTTCCTTCTGCAGACGTCGACATTAGAAGCACAAAACACCAGTAAAAATAGTGGAAGTGGAAGATTGCTGGGATTTATAGACAAACAGAGCTCAATTGAACAAAACCCAACAATGAAAAGGAAACAAATATTTGAAAATCAAAGTCCAAATAGAGTAGTGGTGGAGTACAAATGTGGAATTTATGAGCAAAAAGAGCTGAATTGAGCAAACCCCAACAAAGAAAAAACAACAAATTCACCAAGCTCTTTAATTTGGAATTTATGGGGGGGGAAACAGAGCTGAATTAAGCAAAACCCCAAACAAAGAAAAAACAACAAATATGTAAAAAAAAAACTTTGACAAATCAAGAAAGCAGCTTCAGTTGAAGTTTCAAGTAATAGAAAAAGCTCTTTGATGTGAGATTTATGGGAGAAAAAACAGAGCCCCAAACAACAAATATGTAAAAATACTTAACAAATCAAGATTCACCACTCTTGTAAGTAGCGAGAGAATGAGCAAAATCCCAACAAAGTAAAAAACAGGTAGTATGTAAAAATAGTAGAGATACAACAATGGAGGAAGCTAGGTAGAATTAAGAGGTGGGTAGGGGGGAGAAGAGGACTAATGATTGAGAAGCAGGAACTGGTGGAGACAGGAAGAAGGGCACATGGGTGGTGGGACATTAGTACTTCTCTCTTACATATATTCACAGCTCATCCCTGCTAGCAATCCAGTACAGTACCCACTACCCTCTTTCACGCGCTCACTCCTCTCTCTTCACATTCACACAAAATTTTCACTATCTCTTTCAATTTTCACACTTTCTTTGGATAGTATGTTACGTGGTTTTTATCCTTAATCAGAGATTTTGAGTTTGAACTTAGTGTATGAAAAAAAATTGAGTTGTACAATTAAATATTTCAATTCATTTTTATTGTGTCTCATGAATACCTGGCGCATGAATTTTGGAGGAGTATTTATAAGTTAGAGAGTGTTAAAACTGACATAGTAGAGATGAGTTAAAGTGTTTAGATGTGCATACTTAAAATTGAAGGTTTATATAGTAACTAAGATTAAGTTTAATGTATTTTTGCTAAATTTTATTTGTACAAGTTATTCTTAATTTTAAATGTAGTGTATTCCACTTCCTTTAATATTCTTTATAGTGATATTTTAAATAATTATAAAATATAGTGAAATTATATAACATATGTTCACTTATACATGTATATGTGTATTTAAAATTTTAGTTGCTACTATCTATATCAAGTTATCAACCTCACTTGTCCACCATTATCAGAATTTCAGATGACTGCTGAAAAATCAATGCTTATTTTATTTTTTTTGGAAATCAACATTTTTGAAGGATTCTACAAAAAAGGAAAAAAAAAACTTTCCTAAAATTCACAATGCTTTCGAATTTTTTTGGAATATCAATTGTTCACAAAGTTGTGGCTTTCTTTCTTATTTCTACTAGAATTCTCTCTATGACATATTCAAATTCTTCTCTTATGTATGATAATATTCATGGAAATTGTATGTTGTATACTTGTATGTGTATGACTGTCCATGTAAGAATAAATACTTGACATATATATGACATATATTTTAGACGTTGAATTTCTCATGCATACAACATATACTTTACATTACATATATTTAATATATCTTTCACATATAGTTAGTTGTTAGCCAGTCTCACATAAAATTAATCAATGTTGTACATATACAGTATGAAAACACATATATTAAATTAAGTTAGTCATAAATACACTTATAATTGATTTTACATATATTTAAGAGAAAAGATATCAAATGTACCATCAAGTTGTTCGAACAAGTTCGAGTTTACACTCCAACTAATTAGACAACCTATTACCCCGTTCCTCTTCCCTCCCAATCACTCGATTAGCTGAGTGTTAATTTGATTTATCTAGACAATTTCATAATACAGTTACTTTGTTATATATATATATATATATATATTAATCACAAATACACATACATATAATACAAACAATTTGTATTCATACCATATCAATTAAAATTAGATTTTGTATTCACGTGAATTCAAACGTATTGACTACGTTTAGAAAGAAAAATATTGTTAATTGTTTTGAAAAAGGAGAAAGAAACTTAGGTATATAAAATTCCCCATTTTATCATAGTGTATCTTTTAGGAAAAATAGGGAGAATTTAAGCTTTAAAGGTTGTCAGAGTGGGTCATATTAATCCGTACTGAGGACCAAAAAGTCTCCATAGAGAGAAATTTAATTTGAAGCCAAATTTTTATACATATTTTTCCTATTTTTATTTAAAGTTAAAAAAATTGGCCCCCTACATTTCACTATTTAATTATTATTGTTGTTAGGTCATTGGTGGGTCCCACAATTTGTTTAAAAGTATGGCCCACAAAGTTATGTACATTTTTTTTTTTATCAATAATTGGGTTTGTTGAGGCTTGAGTTTTACATGACTTGACTAGTCTACTTATTTTATATAAAAATAAAATAAATTATAACCAAAATGGTCAATAAAATGTTGCATGTGTTCCAACATGGTGGTTAATGTTTTACCAAAAGTAAATAAGCTTTGAACACTTCAATATCACAAAGAGGAAAAAGAACCAACATGGGTTGTGGTGCACTGGTGGGAATGTTTCACCCTTAATCAGAAGTCTCGGGTTCGAATCCTGGATATGGAGAAAATTTTGTTGGGAACGCCACCACAGAATGGACCCTGCAAAACGCGATTCGGATTTAGTCCGAGCTCCAATATGGACTCCAGACACTTGGGTGGAAAACCAAAAAAAGGAAAAAGAAAGATAGGGCGGACGATTTTAACGCGGACTCTTTATTTTCACAAGTAATATGTATTATTATATCAACTTAATGTTAAGATTAAATTATTTAACTTGATGGGAATAGAAAACATGAACAAAAAAGAAAGAGACTTTGAAATATATATGTAGTAGATTATTTTAAAGCAGACTTTTCATTCATTAAATATATAATGATTAATAAAATTTTATATTACGTTATCGAATAAATTCTAATTTCAAGTATCTCAAATTTGCACGGTTCAAGCTTTCAGCAAACATTTCTTGATATTATGCTTTGAAGAGGATTGAACTCCAACACTTTTTTTGCTTACATAAAGATAAGATGGTTTGAGCATGTGTGTAGAGGAGGTGCGTCAATGCTTCAGTTAGGAGATTTGAGAGACTAGTTGTAAGGGGTATGCAGAGGAGTAGAGGTAAGCCGAAAAAGTATTGGGGAGAGGTGATTAGACAGGACATGACATTACTTCATATTACCGAAATATTGACTCAAATAGGAAGAAGTTGAAGTCATGTATTAGAGCAGAAGGTTAGTAGAAATAGAGTGTTGTCTTGCTTAGGCTTGTTAGTGCATGTTGTAGTACTAGTCGTACCTTTGTTGTAGCTCTTATTATATGTTGTTTATTGTATCTCGAGTATCACACTAATTTGTTGTTGTTATTTTTTTTCTTATAGACACTACACTACTTTTTTATTAATTGTTACGCTTTCATCATTGTTTTCTTCTTATATTAGTTGGGTTTAATGAGTCGAGGATCTTTCGGAAACATCTTTCTACGGCGTCCACGAGGTAATAATAAGGTATGCGTACACTCTATCCTCCCCAAACTCCACTTAATGAGATTTCACTGAATATATTATGTTATTTTAAAAGATAAAACAAAATAGGTCAAAAACTCACATTTAAAAATAAAAAAAAAAATCGTACCAAACACATCCAAAGTGCTAAAATAATAGTAGCTCATCAAATATATGATTGGTTATAACTTGTAACACTACGAACATATCCAAAGTGCTAAAATAATTTAAGCCTATTTAACATAGTCCATAGGATTGGTTTATAACAACATTTGATATTGGATGAAGAAATTTGTCATGGTTGTTAGATTGTCAACATCAAAATTTCAAATGGATAAGGCTCGTTAAAAGGGAACTATTATTATGGATATTAAGTCATAATACACCAATAATTAATTTTTAAGAATTCGATTCCTTGTACCTCTATGTGCCTAATTATAATTAAAAATATTTAAAATATATGACCAAATGCCTACTAATTCATTTATATCGAATTGAATTTTGTAGTTCATAAATTGGATAACTCCAAAACACTTTAGTGGATATTAATTAATTAACTATTAGATAATAATATGCATGAAAAAGACACGAGAAAATAACAACACTCCCTTACGTATGAAAGTAGGTTTCAAAATAGTTTTTTTTTTAAATATAATTTTAACCAATAGAAGTCCAAAATTACTCAAAAGTATATTTTAAAAGTAATATTATAAAATCAAATTAATTTCCTTTATAGTCCTTCAATAATTGAGAAGTTTCCATTCTAGTCATTTTTAATTTCTTCACCATATAATTATTCATCAAGTATTGAGAAGATTCTATGAACATTACTTTTTAAATCTTTCTTTCCTATAAGATTATTCAACTATAGTTTTATGTTTTATAAAATCTCTTTCCCTAGCTAGATTTATTAATTGACATGCCATGTCATAATAATTTTTTATTTTTTATGTCAAGTAGAATAATTTATTTATTTTAAACCCTCCCTAGGAGCTCCCACTCCTTTTGCTTTCTTCATGACTCAAACTCGCAACCTTCAGGTTGGAAGTGAGGGGTGCTTACCATCCGAACAACTCCCTCTCGTCATGTCAAGTAGAATAAAGGCTACATGACATGTCAATTAAGAAATCTCGTAAGAGAATGAGATTTATGTAAGACATAATATTATAGTTAAGTGACCTAATAGGAAAGAAAATTCAAAAATGATTTCAGTCCGATTTTCTTAAGATTTGAATAATTATATTGAAAGAAAAATTCAAAAAATAACCTTAGTGAAATCTTTATAATACTTAAATTGTCATACAACGAATTAACTCATTCTTTAAATCTATCACAAATATAAATGTAAAGATGGATCTTGGGTCTAACTTTAACTCCAAAAGTTAGCTTATGAAGGGAGAATTGTCCAAGTCTATATAAGAAAACTAACTTCCCATCCCTTTTGATCTGATGTGATATTTCTTA